CCCGAAGCTGCAGTGACATCAAGGCGGTGGGTGCGTGCGTGCTGGCTCAGACACAAAGAAGGGGCTCCCGTGGCCGCCTAGTCCTCCCCCCCGCACAGGGCCAGCAGAGCCTTGCGGTAGTCGCCGGAGGTGTCCTTCTGCAAGAGGAAGACCCACATCAGAGAACCACCCGCTGATGCTCACCCCGGGGAAGCCCAGTTCAAGGTGCTGGGCATGGGGAAATCACAGATCTGTGCCCCGACCACCCTGCAGCAGTGGAAGATGTTGGGACATCCCCTGTACAGCCAGACCTGCCAGCACTGGGGCTGGCAGGGGCAAGTCCTCCTCTCTGGGGTGATGCTCAGCCCCTGTGCCACTCACAGCATCGCTCACAGCTTGGGTCCCTAAAGGGCTCCCAGCCAGGGCTCAGCCAGACAAGGTGACACCCGTGTCCCCTCACCTCGATCATGTGATGCAGCGATTTGTCAAACAGGTCTATGAACTCGCCCCGGATGTTGAGCAGGTCAATCTCGCTCCGGGAAATCATGATCCGGGTGAGGGTCCTCTCATCTGTGCCGGCACCCTGCAAACGGGAGTTGGAATAAATAACCCCAGAGGGACCGGGAGCCCTCCCGACATCTCCAGCACAGTCCAAGCTGGGGATTGAATCCAGAGGAGGGCCACAGAAATGGTCAGAGGGATGGAACACCTCTCCTGTGAGGAAAGGCTGCAAGAGTTGGGGTTTTTCAGCCTGGAGAAGAGAAGGCTCTGGGGAGACCTCGTTACAGCCTTTCAACACTTAAATGGGGCTTATAAGAAAGACGGGGACAGACCTGTAATGATAGGACAAGGGGTAATGGTTTTAAACTAAAAGAGGGTAAATTCAGACTAGATACAAGGAAGACATTTTTTACGATGGGGGTGGTGAAACACTGGCACAGGTTTCCCAGAGAGGTGGTAGATGCTTCATCCCTGGAAACATGCAAGGTGAGGTTGGATGAGGCTCTGAGCAACATGATCTAGTGGAAGATGTCCCTGCTCGTTGCAGGAGGGGATGGACTAAATGACCTTTTAAGGTCCCTTCCAACCCAAACCATTCTATGATCTCTCTCTGGAAATGTGCTGGGCTTGCTGCCGGCAAGACACAAGCCTGCTCCGTCCCCTGCTAACCACAGAACGCTGATGCAGTATTGGTTTGAGCTCAGCCCTGCCCTGCTCCCACGGGGAGAACCAGGGGACAAACCCTATCACTGCCACGGGGTTAAATCAGAGAGTCCCATGGGTGTCTGCCCACCATAACCCCTTCCCACATGGCCCTGGGAGAGTCCCTCTACCTTCATGGACTTGTAGAGCTTGTCCGCGAAGAAGGCTGGCTTGTTCTTCACACTCCGGACTGCAACACACAGAGGGGAGAGAACGTGGGCTCCAGGCTCATGGCATGCAGGGGACACTGCAGCAAGGAGCTCTGCCACCCCTGGGTCAGCTGCAAACCCCTCTCTGGCACAGGGGTGCCGACTTAGCCCCATAGGATGCCCTATAAATGCCCCAACCCCACAGCATGCTGAGAGTCTTCATGGCCCCAAGGCAGCATGAATCTTCCCTCATGCTGCCTCGGCAGAGACTGAGGGATGGGCA